AATTATTATTATTATTATTATTATAAAAGAAACGTTCACGATCATAAATAGCAGCCATTGTCGTTCCCATAACCTGGGCAATATCCATCTGTTCATCTGACAGCGGCACCAGAGATCACAACTCTCTCCTGACCACTTTTTCCTTCAAGAAAAAGAAAGAATACTAGCGATGCTCAGCTCTTGTTCCAATCTTTTGCAGTCACCTGTCAGCATAGGCTTCATCATGAATCCGCCGCGTCTTCCGCTGTCGTCGGTTAGAAAGAACACTTTGGTTAGCGAGCAATGAAACAGTTGTTGCTGGTGGCGCTCATTAATCCTTGCATCTTCCACATGCAGAAACCCTGCAGGATCATGTGCTTGCGAGAAGAAGGCGCACGGAGTCCGCGGAACACACTCGAGGGCTCACGTCGGTCGGCCGATTACCACCCCAGCATATGGGATCACCATCTCATCCAATCCATTGAAAGCTCCTACTCCGTAATCGTCATGCACATGTTTTCTTTTCGTATCGCTATCTCTGCCTGGTTGACGCCTTCGTTGCTCGCTTGATGTTTCTGTAGGACGAAAGGTTCACTGCGGACCTGGACGAACTGAAGCTGGAGGCCAAGTACTTGCTGGAATCATACAAGGAACCCTCGGCTCAGCTTCATCTCATTGGCTCGATGCAACGCCTCGGTGTGGCGTACCACTTGGGCGAGGAGATCAACGAGTCCTTGGGGAAAATCTACACGAATGGCTTGTGGCCCAACCACGACGTGCACCAGACTGCCCTTGGCTTCCGCCTCCTTAGAGAACATGGACACAGTGTGCCCTCTGGTATCATTTTTCAAAATCTTAATTTTTTTTATTTCTAAATATTAGAAATTATTCATTTGAGAAGAGATTAAGAAGGAAACTGAATAATAAATATCGAATGAGTCGAATAATATATATATTCAAGTCTAATCCATAATTTATTAGTTTAATCTTTTTAAATTAAATTAGCGTCCATTCAATGTATGTTAATCATTACTAGTTTGACTCACTCATCATTGTAAGATTTCTAACATAATATCAGAGCTAATATTCTCTAAAAAAGAAGAGAGAGAAAAAAAAAGATTAATTTGACTATATATATATTAATCCTAAATTTTTAACATCAAGCCATCTGACTTCAATTTTTGATGAATCAGTTACTAAATTTAATAGTGGCGCTGCATGATTGAATATATATATATATATATATATATATATATATATATATATATATATATATATATATAGAAGAGAGAGAGAGAGAGAGAGAGAGAGAGAGAGAAACATCAGGACCAAACCTTAAAATGAACGCAGAGCAGCTACTTAAAGATGCATGGAGGTCAATCGTAGTGTTATGAGCTAACCTCTGCTTTGGATCTCGTGGTTGCAGACGTGTTCGAGAAGTACAGAGATGAGAAAGGATTTAAGAAATGCCTAGCCCGTGACGTCAGAGGGCTGCTTAGCTTATATGAAGCATCCCACTTCGCCATCGACGGAGAGGAAATTTTAGACGAAGCCAATAAATTCAGTGCTATGCATCTGAAGTTATTGGAAAAGCAAGTTGACCCGCATGTCGCAGAGCAAGTGAGACATTCCCTAGAAATTCCTTTGCGTTGGAGGATGCCAAGGCTGGAGACAAAGTACTTCATCGACGTCTACGACCGGCAAGAGTGTAGAAACCCGGTCCTCCTGAAGCTGGCTAAGTTAGATTTCAACATTGTGCAATCGATACATCGAGAGGAGATGAGGGAGCTCTCCAAGTAAGATCGGATGCATATCTTGCAACTACACGAAAGCCTACGTTTCTCATATTTCAGATGTGAAGATAACGACAACCTCGAGTAATATGTCTGTCCATGGAATTTGTTTGCGGTATATCCTGAAGTTTTTATTTCTGTTAGGTGGTGGAATGAACTGGGTCTGGCGCAGAAGCTCAAGTTCTCCAGAGACAGATTACTCGAAAATTATCTGTGGGCTGTCGGGATCGCCCACGAGCCCCAATTCTCCAAGTGTAGAGTGGGTCTCACCAAGCTGATCTGCATTCTCACAGTCATCGATGACGTATATGATGTCTATGGTTTGCCTGAAGAAGTCAAGCTCTTCACGGCAGCTGTCAAAGCGTAAGAACTCAAATTTCTCATCATGCCTGCGTTAAAAGCTTGCGATGCATGCTTTCACGCAAATAACACCAGTGATAACCTTTCACTTTTTCCCTTCTCAGTTGGGATCTCGAGGCTATGGATACCCTTCCGGATTACTTGAAGTGCTGTTACCTGGCCTTGCACAACTTTGTCAATGAGACTGCTGCTGATATTGAGAAGGATCATGGGTGGGATGCAACGGCCTTGTTTAGGAAAGAGGTGGTACTGAAACCTAAAACTTCCTAATCTTTTTTATCTTCTCTTCTGATGCCTAACGATGAAGTGATCTTTTTGCATGCAGTGGGAGAGTCTCTGTGAAGCATACTTAACCGAGGCAGAATGGTTTCACAAAGGCTACAAACCTACAC